ACCCCACCGAGAGAGGTTTTAGGGGCATGTTGGGGGCTGATGCTTATTTTTAGTGGATTAAGAAATCCAGGGAGGAGGAGTGGAGATGATTCCTTTAAGAAGCAAGTAGTGAAGGGAAGAGAAGGGTTAGAGCAGGGGTCCTCAAACCTTTTAAACAGGGGGCCAGTTCATTGTCCCTCAGACCGTTGGAGGGCCGGACTATAGTTTACAAAAAAACTATGAACAAATTCCTATGCACACTGCACATATTTTATTTTGAAGTAAAAAAACAAACGGGCAAAACCACCCGCATGTGGCCTGTGGGCCGTACTTTGAGGACGCCTGGGTTAGAGGGTGGAGGAAAGATCACAAAACTGGGTTTAGGAGAGCAGCAGCGTGGGCATTTGTGCAGGAATGAACCCCTGGAGAAACCGGCGTTGATGACAGAGGTGTGGGCTCTCAGCATGGGTGAGAGGGCAGAGGGATGGACAGAGGGATGGACAGAGGGGTGGACAGAGCGGTGGAGAAGCTGAGGGAGGGGAAGAGGGGTGAGCAGTCGGGACAGCTGAGGCCTAAGGAAGAAGGTGTCCCTGCCCTCGTTGGGGGAGACGCCGGGTAACTGGGCGCCAGGGAAGGGAGTGGCTTCCTGGGCACCTGCTGCAGAGGGAACACTGCGGCCCGGGCAGCGGGGAGGGCCCAGGCTTGCGGGCAATGCTGTGGTCATCAGCTGAGCCCCTGGGCCCGGGCAGGTGGCCAGGGCAAGGGGCAGGGGTCAGGCACGGGGCTGCTGCGGACAGCCTCTCAGGGCGGCAGGGAGCCAGCAGGGGCAGCCCGTGAGTGAGTTCAGGGCCCGGTGCCCTGCAGAGGGGGTTACTCACCGCTGACTCAGCCCCAGGTGCTCATTTGCATGTTATTCATTTCGAGCCAGGAATACCGGGGCATCTCTTCCCCTTTCCAAACAGAACCACCCAGATCTTCCTCGAGCACCAGCGGCTGTGCTGAGTCGCTCTGACTTGGAAATATTTCCACTTTGGAAGCGTCTATTCAGCCATATCCACGTGGCTATCCGTGCCATTGAGCTGAAAAAACAAACCACTCAGAAGTTCATTTCCTCTCTAAGAATATCAAGGTAAGTTTTAATATCAAAGTTGACATGCTCAGAGCATGGGCCTCACCATCTCCAAATATAATTGTTTTAATTAGCTCTCCCTCCGCACCAGAATGCAACCACGGCCATGAAGACAGGAACGTTGATTTGTCCTTTGTGCCTGGAACAGTGCCTGGCGCATAGTAGGGGCTCCATTAACACATTGAGTGCTCTATCGCCTCTAAATCTTACAACCCGGACAGGTAGCAGTGTAGCACTGGGAGATTCTGAGAGGTGAACCCAGGTCAATCAGGTTGCCTGGAAGGGGACAGACCCCATGGTTTCAAGCCGGGCTCCCCGCTGTCACGCAGTCAGAAATGACTGTATCAGTTGCCGCTCCTGTGAAACTGATCCGTGCTAACCCAGCTCTGACACAGACATCCCTGACAAGAACAAGCAAATGTGAGTTACGTGCAAATGTCTACAGCTGCCCACGAGCTGAAATGCTCTGCCCAGCTGGATAGCTCAGCCTGTCCCCAGTAGGATGGGGTCACTGAGGAAGCCCCCAGCCTGGCTTGGAGGCTGAGCAGAGTCGATACTCCCAGGGAGACCGCGAGCTGGTGCTGGGACTGTCACCCACTCTCCAGCTCACCCAGAGAGCCACAGCCACCAGCCTCCTTGCGTCCTTCCTGTTTTCCCTTTGAGGGTAATTGCTTGTTGAGTGACTGAATGTATCTCCTCCGCTCTCTCCACCCACTGTTCACTGGCTTTCTTAGGTGATTATTTCTTGTTAATAAGGGGAAGTCCCAGTGCACAGCAGGCAGTCACCTTGCAACAGTTCTGACCATGTCTGGGGGGACAGCCACCTCTCTGAGAACCCAGGCCTGTGTTTGGGTCCCAGCTGGCTGGTGACACTGTGTGTGTGGCGAGTATGTTCTGCCTGTGGCCTTTTGTCTGAGTAGCGTCTAGGACGCTGAGAGTCTCTTTAGTAAATGGAGGCCCTAGCTGCTAGTGCAGACCAAAGCATGAATTTGCTCTCTTTCTACTACAGTAGCTTATTTTTAAGCTAAACAGAAAAAAAAAAGTCCAATTCCCAATGCCTAGGCCAGAGTAGAGTAACCACCACAAAACAGCTGTTAGCATGGCTGACACTTGTTCCTGCTAACTGCTTTAGTCAAGTTAAAGGCCTGGCAAGGGAGAAATTCTGGCTGCTTTAGCAAGGAGAGAAATTTCAGAGGTAGCTACCACAGATGGTAGCAGATGTCATGCAGCTCAGAGCAGAAGCCACCGGGGACGTCACCATCTCAGAGCTAAGCAAAAAAGCTGAGAAATACTCAGCCAAGCCAACTGCCAATTACATACCCCAAGAATCTCAGGAAGCCACAGAGGGTGTAAAAGTTTCTGTAATTAATAGTTTTCCATTCTCTTTATCTATAAATCTGTCAGCTCCTGGCTCTTCAAAGATCTAGAGTGTCGGCTTCAGGTATCTCTGCCCTCACCTAGTATGGCCAGCAGTGCAAAGGTGGAAATGCACAGTTTGCAACCACAGTATTGACTGCTCTAGTCCTAAGATGAAAAGTGATCCTGGTGGACAAGAAGCCAGTTGCTCAATTCTATTACTGTGCAGGGTAGCAGTCACCAGTGTAGGCTAGTGTCACTCAAGCTTGGGGCCTTACCATTACCTGCTGCATGATGCTGCTATTTCATCTCTCTGAACCTGTTTCTTCATCTGTTAGGCAGGAATAGTGCCTATTTTGTTGGGTGTTGGAATGATTACTCTGATATTGCACCTGGCACGGTGCATCGTACACGGTAAATACTCAAAGAATGTTAGGTGTCATCCCAAACCTATGAATGCCCAGAAACGTGCTGTTGGGTACTTTCATGGCCCTTATGTGTCCCATAAATTCCTACAACTCATGGTCATACCTATTAGAAAGTAACTCTGCATGTGCCACTGCAGTCAGTAATCTGCAATCTCATAACTGCAAGTTTTAAAAAGCTATTATGAAAAGCTATTAAGGCCTTAAACTACTTTGTCAAGTTGACTATGGTCCTTCTCAGATGTACAAGATAACTTTTTTCTTTTGTTAGAAATCCATGAATTACATAAAGTCAGAAGTATGGCTTTTTTCTATAGCAGTATCTTTCATTATTAGCTAGAACCCAACTAATAGAGCGTTTTTTCCATTTCTTTTTTTTTAGGGAAACATAGACTTGGCAAGGTGTTCCTCCAATGGAACATTTGGGGATATGCGCGGGGCTAGACACATGTTTAATCCAATCATTTCCACATTCTATATTTATTTCTTCAGACATCAAATGACAATGGTGTGCAAAATAACGATGTCCCATAAGATTCCCAAAGATTCAGATATGCTCTATTTTCCAGGGCAGGAAATGGGTTAATGTAGTTAAGAATTTTTCTATCGTCTGAACGTTCTAGTTATTTGGTTTGTACAGGGTGGGTGACCAGTGGAGAAAATTGGTCAGGACATGGAGCTGACTGGAAGCAGAGGGCTAAACGGGCAGGATGATGAAGAGTCCTGAATCCCTCCCTTCACTAGCCATGACCTTGGGGAAAGCTCACGTGTCTGAGCTCCCATTTCACCCACTTAATAAGTAGCTCCCCCTTATCTGTGGTTTCACTTTCCTTGGCTTCAGTTATCCATGGTTCACCGTGGTCTGAAAATATTAAATAGAAAATTCCAGAAGCAAGCAATTCTTCAGTTTTAAATTGTGTAGTGTTCTGAATAGCATGACGACATCTCACGCCATCCTGCTGTTCCAACTGGGATGTGAATCCTCCCCTTGTGCAGCTCATCCACGCCACAGACGCTCCCCGCGTGAGAGACTTAGGAGCTGTCTAGATGCTTAGACCAACTGTTGCAGCATCACAGAACTTGTGTTCAAGTAACCCATGTTTTATTTTTATTACAGTATATTGTTATAATTGTTCTATTTTATTACCGTTGTTAATCTTACTGTGCCTAATTTATAAATTCAACTTTATCACAGGTATGCATGTACAGCAAAAAAAAACCAGTATATATATATAGGGTTTGGTACTATACCCAGTTTCAGGCATTCATTGGGGGTCCTGGAACATACCGTCCCAATGGGTAAGGGGTACGGCTGCAGGGAAAACGGTACCTGTATCACAGGACTGGTTCAGATGAGTTCACACACTAGGAAACTAAAGTGCTCTGTAAACACCAAAGCTCCAGACACATGAGAGCCCACCGAGCGGACTGCTCAAGTCGCCAGGGTCTGTGCCCTCGTGCACGGCCCGGCCATGCGCACACCTGAGCTGGCACTGCCCCGTGGTTCCCGTCTTCTCATTCCAGCCTATGATGGCTCTGCCGTCCTCACCACCACTTCCCCTTCCACGACACAGGGACACGTTTCCCAGCAGGCTGACATGATCGTGAATAAACCGCCTTCCTTCCTTCCCCCCTCCCTCCCTCCCAGGGCTCAAGCAATGGGCCGCTCATCACCAACTTTCTACAGAAAGGAAACTTGAAATTAGTGTAAAAACTGATTACAGGGGGAGGATCGAGGGAGGAATAGCTGGAGCACGGAGGATTTCCAGGGCAGTGAAACGACTCTGCGTGATACTGCAGTGGTGGATACACATTTGTCCAAACCGATGGAATGCACAATGGCAAGAGTGAATCCTAATGGAAACTGCGGACTTTGGGTGATCATGATGTGTCAATGTGGGTTCATCAGCTGTAACAAATGTCCCACTCTGGTGGGGGATGTGACAGTGTGTGTGAGGGGCCATGCCTGTGGGGGGACAGGGGACATATGGGAAATCTCTGTACCTTCTATGCAATTTTGCTGTGAACTTGAAACTGCTGTAAAAAATAAAGTCTGTTAAAAATTGATTACACGTACGCACATTTGCTACTGAGATGGGCTCTGACAAATGTGAAAATTTAAGAAATCTAACTCTTTATTTAACACCAAAGCTAACATCAAGTGTTCGTTTAAAAAAATAATGGCACCCGCTTTGAGTTCATTGATGATATCACCATGGGGTGAAGATCTACAGAGAATTTACAATTTTAGGCTGACATGAAACTACGTAGTATCTCACAAAATGGAAACTGTGCAACAGACCTCACAAGAAACATTTCCAGTTGCTACTTTCAGAGCCGCTAACTACTACCTAAACATATCTTAAACACAGAGCACGTTTTGTTGAAATATTCTCTTAGGACAAACACAGCAGACATGCTTTAAATAAATTAAAATTGCAACACATAAATCATTTCTAAAACAATCAAGGTTCATTACTTTTCAGCTTCTTATAAACAGAGAACTGACTTCAGAAAATGACAAGTTAGTTCTGCTTTGTATCTTTTTTTTTTTTTTTGTAATTTCTTATCTACTTTTGATGTGAACAGACCAATCTCATTCTTTTCAGTAATTTATCTTTTTAAATCAACTCCTTCCTTGGTGCATGTGCTAACCTTGAAATGCAACTCCAAATGAGCCCTGAATTTTAAATGATGCTATTTTCTCCCTATCCCCAGCCCACTCCTCAAAATTATAAATCATGCAAAATAGCTTGTTTAATCACACATGTTCACATTAATAAGGGTATTTAAATGTTTTTCCAAACCAATACAACTATATCTGGATTCCCTACAAAAATGTTCTCAGTCAATGCAAAATAATTTGGTACAATCCAACCAAAAAGAACAAAAGTAATTAGTTGCCCGAGGGAAGCTAGTTCCCTCATTATTACTGAGCACATAATTAAACCTGATATGCTAGAGAAATGGCAAGGCAATAAACCTGCATAGTGGGGCAATACTTAAATGAAAACAAGAGCGACAAAGCAGAGAAGGCTAAAACCACATGAGTGCCAACTGACAAAGTAACAGCCTCACTGGCTGAAATGAAAAGCAGAGTTTCAGAAGATTTCTGAAGGTTTATGTCTATCTAGGGTTCACAGGGATGGCATAGGCAAAACCACTAACGTTACAACCTAGAAACTTGGCACTACTCCTACTTTCACTGTCCAAAACCAGTGAAGGAGTGCTTTTGGTTGTTGCTTCATTATGGGTTTGTAATTTTGGGGGGTGGGGATGAGGGTGTTATTCTGGCTTAACCATACTCAAAGTATGAGCTGAAATAACCAATTCAAAACCCACCGGAGAGTATTTAGCGTTTTTGTTTTTGCTCAACAAACTATCATTATCCTGGTGATCATGAAAATATGTCACACACAAAAAAATACAATGCTAGAATCCAAAGACCAGCATCTTAAATCACTCAATAATGTTCACTGGGTAACCAGGTGCGTTTAACCATCTAACTACTAGTGTTCACTGTTAGGTATGCACAAGATGTTTACTACGAATGAAAGGTGCAGAAAAGAGATTAATGTAAATGTAAATTACATGTCCAATTTCAGGATATGTCATAGCTATATCACAATTTTTCATTGTAATAGTTATAAAATTTCATTTAATCTCCTTACACATCGAAGACCACAAAGCAGTGGGAGGGTTTATTCCTTAACAGAATAAACTGCAGAGAATAAAGGTCTCCTTGGAGTGTATCATCTTGTTAAAAAGTAAAAAGCTTCATGAACTTCCAGTAACATTCTAAAATAAATATGCCAGGCAGGTTGAGCACATCCCAATAAAAACAAGGGTATCTGACATTTATTGAGAGGCAATGAGAATATGAATTCTTTAAAAGAAATTCGTAATCAGATAGGATGATTTAGACCCTACAATACTTCAGAACAGAGCCAGTTTCTAGGAGCTTCTGTTAACAGCTCCAGCCTGGAGGTGGGGGAACGTGCTGCTTTCCATTTCCTTCTCTCTCACCGGGGAGAAGACACAGCGATCACGGGTCTGAGAGGCGCCAGTCAGAGCAAACCCGCAGGGCACGGCTGAGTGTTGTAGCAGTGAGCGGTGGCAGGAGAATGGGGCCCGAGTCTGGATTTTCCCAGAGCCCTTCACCTCACAGGCTAGCAATCCCGCTGGTTCTCTAAACCAACAGCAGCGTCTACACCCACCCCGACCCTGGCATGCACAAAGATCCGCTCTAAAGAGAGCCCACCCAGGACCCAGCTTGACCAGCGGGTACATTCCAGCTCGGGAGACCCTGGAAGAGCCCGACAACGAAAAGGGGACACCGCGGGGTGGGACGAGTAACTCCCCCCCCAATCAAAAATACTCTGGTTATACAACCAAAGACTTCCTGAAATGAATGACATTTATTGTTTTAAGAAGCCTGGGCCTGGAAATAGTGGCGACAGCTGAACCAGTCTGTGAACGTACTGAAACCACTGAACCGCACGCCTGGAGAGCTGGAGCCGGGCGGGTCTCCCGCACGCCGGACTTGGACTAAATGCTCCACTAGTCCATTCTCTCAAACTGCGGCTCGTTCCGTCACATTTATTTTCAGGAGATTTCCCTAGGAAGAGCTGTTTGCAAAATATTGCACTTAATTTAAATCCGGGATATTGGATGTCTTCTGGAAGGAAACGTACACCGGCTCGCCTCTTCGCGCGCTCAGTGAAGGGTGGAGGTGGTGGGAGGCGGCCTCGGCAGCCGTTTCCACCAGAACCATCTACGCCTTCCTTTTTGTTATGTACGCGGAAAAACAGAGCTAAAGGAAGCTGGGCTGGGCTGGGCTGAAGACAGAGAGCAGTGTCCCCCGAACAGGCACGTTAGCTTCTTATGCCGCCAGCTCAGAAGCACGGGGCGGCCACCCCACTACCTCAGGACTTACTTTCAGAAATATGCTGAGAGAGACGGATGGCAACCTTGGCTCAAACACTGGATTCAATTTATTCCTGCCGGCCTTTCACGGCCGTAAGAGGCCCCTCTCCATCTTCATCCAGGAGAACTGCTCCCACTAATCTAGCCAGCATCCAACGAGACCAACGTCTCGTTTTCCTCACGCTTCCAGCGCTCCCGCTCCTCAGTGCACTTCGGCTTTATAAACTAAGACTCTGTGTCCTTCAAGGAAAAAAAAAAAAAAACCAAACCTGTAGCATGAGCATTTGTTTTCATTTCCTGAGTAAGCTCTGCAATCCCTCACAAATCTGTGACTAAAATGAATCACAAAAAGTGAATCACATCCTCGAAGGGGGTTTATCACAATTAAGATTTGCCAAAACACAAAGCTCCATAGTGCTCACAGGACTCAAATTAATGAGAAAGCCACAGTTTGTGAGGGATTTGGAAACACTCCTGCATGCTTTCAAGGCAGGGCAGTTGCTAGCCAGTTAAGATGAAGTCAGCGTGTGGTTCCCTGGGGATTAGAAGGGGAAGGCCCCATTCACAAATTCTTGTGTTTTACCGTTTAAAGTGCAACGAAACCCCAAACGCAGATTTTTGTTGGATAAACAGGTGTGTTAAAAGATTTCCATGACAGCTGGCTATGGTGGTGTACGCGTGTAGTCCCAGCTACTCCAAAGGCCGAGGTGGGAGGACCGCTTGAGCCCAGGAGTTCGAGACCAGCTTGGGCAACACAGCGAGATCCCATCTCTATAAAAAGAAATTTAAAAGATTTTCATGCTACAGGGTCACACGTAATTGACCACTGTGGACGCTGGGTACGAAATGGGGCCTATGGTCATCAGTGGACAAGCAGGGGGGATCACACAGGGATTTATTGCACTTCAGTAGGCCACTAGCGTTCAACACGGCCAATGCCATGGCCGTGTTGTTCACTTCCCCAGATCACACATGCCCTGTGCTGTTCACGGGACTCAGGGAAAACACAACCGCCAGCGACAGTGCTGCTCAATTCTGACAGTGACTTAAGAGAGGGAGACCTCTTTTCTTGTGGGCTACCAATTAAGCCCAGGGCTCAATAAACACGGGTTCACCATGCTGGGCTAACCAGGTGGGCAGGAAATCTAGTCTGATTAAGGCAGTGAGCAAGGCGAGAGAGCTCTGGAACAGATTCACATTGACCAAGTGCAGGGACGGAGCTGCCGCCTGCTGCCGAGTGAGGAAACCGTAGATATTTACACCACACAGCCCCAGGTATTCTTGCACGCGTCAGTCGGCACAACCGCTCATTTTAAAATTTGGTAGTATGCACAGAGTTTTCTTTAACATAAAAACGTGAAAGGATGTGAAGGCAGGAACCAGCGGCTTCATCTCGGTATTATTATCCTTTCTATGGCACACAGGATGTGGTCCCAGTTTTTGCAAAATATGGCGAGCAGAGTCACGGCAAAGAAGGTGCCCAGGATGTGGAAGCGGCTCTTCATCATGGGCGAGACGAACTTCGCGATGGTGGACACGCACACCAGGATGACGGTCATGAAGGCCAGGACCACGTTGATGCACTTCCCCAGGAGGACCTTGGCGCTCACGGCGTCCGTCTGCAGGACCTGCTGCTCCTGCTGGTGGAGCTCCAGCTTGGCGATGCGCGTCTGGCACGACTCCAGGGCCTCCTGCAGGGAGAGGGAGAGCGGGGTCAGACGGGGGTCAGACGGGGGTCAGACGGGGCTCAGACGCGGCCGGGACCAGGGGCGGCTCCCACCTGCGCTCGGCCCGGCAGAAAGCCCGACAGAAAGCCCGACGCCCGCCCGGCAGCCTCCAACCCCGTGCTGACGGCGGCAAGAAACAGGAATCCCAGGGCTCGTTTTCCCGTTATTCACGTGCACACAGTCATACAATACTGTAGAGGAGGAATTATGGTGAAGCTTTTGGACTTTACCTATTTTTAAAATAAAACGATATAAAATATTGGCGCCTGCTGGTGCCACCAGGGACGAACCAGAGAAGGGGTGTTTTTTTTTTGTTTTTTTTTTTTGTGACAGCTGATGATCTGCCTTCAGCCTCGGAGTGCGTGGGCTCCCCGACGCTGGTCCCCACGTCCACTGCCCGGAGCCTCTGCGCCCCCATTTAAAGGCTGGCAGGGGGCGGTGAGGAAGGAGAGGGGACTGACCGAGGGGCGACTCTGCTTCCACCTGCTCTCTGCACCCCGGGCACTCAGGATGCCGTCCGAGGCTCTCTCCCCTGATCTGTTTGCGCCACGGCTTCAGTGCTAAGACACGGCTGACTCTGGGTCTCTAGCTCTGCCATGTCTTCGGAGATTGGCTCACGTATCCACATGCCTCCCTGACACTTCCATCGGAGCCTCTTAAAAGCACCCGAAACACAGCGTGTCCTAATGCGGATTCGTGTCCCGCACCCACCCTGCACCTGCAGTCGACCCTTTTCTCGGGAAACAGCACTACGACCCACCCAGCCCCCCACGCGAGAAGGCTGGGGCATCCCTCGACACCCTCCTCATCCCATCCATCCCCCAGCTGCCAACGCGCCAGCCGGCACCCCCCTCAATCGGGCCATTCCTCTCTCACCCCTCCAATCTAAGTCCTCGGCATCCCCTGCCTGCCATAACCTTACAGGAATGTCCTCACACACTTCTGTCCCCACCTACGAATCCATTTTTCCCCACAGCAGCCCAAGGGATCTTTTAAAGATGCATATTTGATGTTACCCTTTTTCATAAAACCTTTTGAATCTTTCACATGGTCCTTCAAGGCCATGCAAGGCCCAGGCACAGCCACCCTCTCCTGATTCACTTAATTCTAGCCCCTGCTCCTCACAGTGCTCTGGCCAATCTGGCTTTCTCCAAGCTCTGAACAGGAGCGTGCACTCGCCTTGGGGCCTTTGCACATGCAGTGTGCTCTGCCTGAAATGTGCACCTTCCCCACTCCCTCTCTTCACCTGCGGATCTCCTATTCACCTTTCAGGCCTCACCAGATAGACACAGCTTCCCTGACCCACCAGATTAGGTCAAGTCTCCCTCCGGCTCTCCTTCCCAACCAAGAGACACACAGTACATGAGGACAGGGACCAGGTCCATTCCCCGGTACAGGGCCGGTGCCGGGCATGCAGCAGGTGCTACGCACTGGCTCAACGCTGAAGAGATAGCCTGGTGCCAGTAATAGGATGTGAGGCTTGAGAAAGAAACCCCCCGAGCCTCGTGGGCTGAAAGGACCTAACTAGAGGTAGTACAAAGCACCCCTTTCAGTTCACTAGCCTACCATCTGACCCATTTGCCAATATGTGTGTTCAATTAAAATACAGTCACCTTTTCAGGTTTTAAACAAGCATAATAGCTCCAACACTGATTTGCTGTTCTTCTGCTGAATATACTCTGTGGGCCAGAGAACAGGGTTCTCTGTTACTATAGTAACTTTCATTATGCTAGGCTACCAACAAAAAGGATAAAACTCCAGATCTTCACATTCTGAAAAGTGCTGCCTTTCTACAATAACAGGCGCGTACCGAGAAATCACGCACTCTTTTCTGCTGCTTGGGCCCAGGGCTTCCTCCACGTTAGGCATGGCACAGAAAAGGTGACGGAACAAGACAAAATACCAATATGCTAGGCAAATTCGTTAATCTTTGATTGTATGGAGGAATTATACCTACAAATGGACTGATCTTTGAATTGCCTTGGAACTGCTGCCAAACCTTTTGCCAAAAGAAAAAGCCAAGAAAATTAAGCATTAAATTGCCAGAAACTTCAGTCCCAGCAGCAACAAATATTCAGCCCCACAATTTTCAGTACTTCCTTGGGCTCACCATTTAACTTATTGGGGGATGAGGCCAGAAGAAGGGATTATCTTCAGACATTTTAAATTGGGAATTCGGGGGTTAAAAAAAACTCAGTTGTTTAAAGCAACGACAAAACCTTTGCATCCCTGTGGGCACCAGCCACCCTCGTGGACACCTACATCAGCCATCCCCTCGGCCTTGCTCTGCCTGCAAGAACGACAACAACAACAGAGCAAGAAGCAAAGATGAAGTGGCCAGTCCCAACTGCTAACGCCCTGAGGAATACGGCTACTCACCAGTGTTTGAGAAAGAACAGCCGGTGTTTATTTTTTGACTGTTTACTGTATGTCAGGCAAAGCTTCCAGTACTTTGCATGTATTATCTCATTTAATCCTCCTGACAACCTTTTGAGGTAGAGCTCATTAATACTTCCATTTTATAGGTAGGAAACTGAGGCACAGAGAGCTAACTCATCCAGGGTCACAGAGAGAGCCAGGATTCTAACCAAAAGAATATTAGCCCAAACTATCCCTTAAATAAGGAAACCATCCAGTCAGACCCCACCCAGTGACATCCAAGACATGTCCTAAGCCAGAATGACCTGAAAACCCCACTGTCCTGTTCACCTGGCAACATTCGACATTTAAGTGGTTCACGTTTCTCCACCCAGTCATGGTGAAACCCAGTCCCTAAGCCAGAGCAGGGCCAGAAATCCCCAAGCGGCTCCCGTGCCAGTCTCTAGAGGCAGCTTTTCCCACCAGCCCCGCCGCTCTGGTTCCCGGAATTGTCCCGGAAGGCATCTGGGATCAGCACGGGCTCCGCCCTCAACACGCAGTGAGATCAAACATGCGCGGCGGAAACTCTAGCTCACTCACTGCGGGAGAATCTCTGGGTTTCAGTTTTCTCCCCTGCAAAGGGGGGCTCAGTCTGCTGACAGCTTTCACAGTGGGCGAAAAATAACTGCTGTCCACAAAGAAAATTCACAGAAATGAAGCTGAGCATTCTTTTGAAGAGTACATTTTTTTAAAGGTAATCAAGAAGCCTGGGGTTGTTTCACTACAGGCTGGTCCCACGTTAGGACACACTGGGACACGCCTCTGCTACACTGACCCCTCATCCTTCCTTACGTCCACCCCACCCACCCCTCCCAGTCCACTCATTCACATTCACTCCTCAGGGACGATTTGTAAGACGTTATTAGTCCACGCAATCTCTCTGTGCCTCGGTCTCCAGATCTGAGAAGTGGGGATAATAGTAGAACTACCTTAAAGGGCTGCTGAGGAGTAACTGGGGAAAAGAGAGCTTTGCTGGTGTCTGGCACACAATATGCACTAAAGTGTTTGAAATTCTTACCAAAAAGAAAGTGATCACTACACAGACGAGCAAACAGGCTCAAGGCTTGCTCAGGGCCACAGAGCGGATAGACGGCAGACGTGTCACCACTAAGTGACGGACTGCCCTGCAGTCACGCAGTCCACGGCTTGCTGGACACATGCCTGAATTTCTGTGGCTCACAGGGGCGGTGCCATGTAATCCGGCCCTCGTTCCTGCTGTCTGGAGCTGTGCGGCGGCTGAGCTACTCCGGACTCTCCATCTAGGCAGTAAGCCTTCTGAAGGCAGGGATTGTTTCATTTTTGGGAGGAGGGGGGCAGCAAACAATGTGGCGTTATTGAGCACACCCAGATGAGGTTCTTGGGTCCCAAGAGAGGGGGCCCGAGAAGTCGCCTGTCTCATTGTTAAATTTTAAACATTGTGCTGGTGATGGGCTTGGGGTACGTAATAAATGCTTGCTAACTGATTAGGCAGAAAGCAGGTACAGCACAGCCTCTTCACTCAGCAATGGCTGTGACATGAACTAGTGGGGTGAGGGGGAGAAAATGTTTTGCCTCATGTGCCAAAAGTCCTTTGGGGCTCAGGGGTGAGGTACCCAGTCTGTTAAATGCATGAATCCCCAGGCAGAGCCGGGGTCTGTGTCTAATCGGGAAGGGCAAGGCACCTGGATGTCCCGCGCCCGCTCGTGGGCCTGGTAGGCCACCTTCTCCTCGATGCTGGCCAGCTCCTGCTTCAGGTTGGCCGTCTCGTGCTGGTGCAGGTCGGTCAGGTCGTGCAGCTGGTCTTCCAGGCGCTCGTACCTTCACAAAGAGAGCAGCCGGCTCTAAGCGTGACATTTCATAGGCCTTCTGACAGCACATTCTAGAATGACATCCTTCCTATCGCACCGTGGCTAGCGCCCTTTGGCTTGTCTTCCTCCCCTGGCAGACTGTTTCCCCAAAAGAATTAAGTCTGGCTGTGGGGAACATGCGTGGGGATCACACTGATGCCCAGATGGGGGAAGGACTGGTCTCTGCAGTCTTACCTCTCTGTCCTGGCCACTGGGGCTGCATGCAAACCCAATCTGGCTTCTCTGCCCATGTCGGACTAGCACCTTAGCTGGCTGTGGTGACAATGGGACAGACCTTGTCAGCTGATGCACTTGCTAGGGCCAGTCAGGAGACAGGGTTCTCCGGGATCCTACTAGAGGTCGGGCCCTGCTGGCATCTGTGGTGGCCTCTCCCTTCTCTGCCTCCCCCCGCCCCCAACTGCTTAAATGTTCACAGCCAGAGAGCTCATAAGGAAAGAGCCATGCCTTTTAGTATCATCTTCTACTCTGGGGCCAACTCTACAACTTCCCAGTGCACACACTCATACTGAATATGGTTTTCAGCTCTTGGAACTTAAGTGCCAATGAGAGGATCTGTCTAATATTTGAAACCTTTATCATGTCTATTTTGCAATAGGATGCACTGTTTGGGGAAGATGCATTGGCCAGGAATGACTTTGATCAATGCCAGTTTTAGATTCTTATATAGGTCACCTGAGAGAATCTTTTTTAAAAAGAGAGGCAAAAACATTAATACAGATTGAATGATTATTTTCAGGCATGACTTCATAGGTGCCAAATGCTGCTGCTGTTGTATAATAAGCCTGTTAAAGGTCTCTTAACCCTTTGCACTCGCTTGCTTTTTTCTCGATTCCTTTATTCTACTCGGGATTTAATTTTTTAAATACCCCAGATTTTACAAAGCGTGGCAGAATAAAAAACTGGAGTTTCTTTTCATACAAACTTTTATTTATTTGGATTTTTTTATATTTCAAATTATGGATACATTCAAAGAGTAATTTTAATCTCTATAATTTTTGCTAACCGTGCCGAGTCACACTTGACATCCGAGTGCAAAGGGTTAAATAACACGGTGAGTGGCTATATCAAGGGACCACAAACATAACCATAGGACAAAAGGAAACAAAAACTGTCCTAAACCTATGTAAATGGGTATTTGTAACCTGGGACAAAATGTGCATCTAAAAAGTGCTGCATTCCAAACTATTTGGATGGCATTAGAGTCAATATTTTCTGGAAAAGCTGTAACCTAACAGTTCTTGTCTGACAAAGATACCACAGTCAAAAAGATATATGCAAAGTTTTAAAATCTGTTTCATAAAATATAAGTTGAAAAAAGCCATATTTCTAAATTAATACACACACAAAATCATATATCAATTATAAAACAACGTATAAGCTAAATTTAAAATTTAAATGTTAAGCTGGGCATGGTGGCTCATGCCTATAATCCCAGTGCTTTGGGAGGCCAAGGCAGGAGGATTGCTTGAGGCCAAGAGTTTGAGGCTACTGTGACCTGTGATCACCCCACTGCACTCCAGCCTGGGTAACAGAGCAAGACTCTCCATCTCTTAAAATTAATTAATTAAACATCACAATATGTAATAGGCATTTCATTATTATATCTATATTCTTAGAATATAACATATTGAGGGAAAATGAGGAAAAATCACCTATTTGGGCATACACACTTTTTATTAATAAGCTATAAGCACATAAAAGCCATCCTGTAAAACATCTATGTTTAAAATGAGCTAATATAACCCAGAAGATTTCCATTTATACTTTAATCTTTTTTTAAATTTAAATTTAAGTCTTTTGTAAAGATGGGGTCTCACTATGTTGCCCACCAACTATAAGCCACACATTACACAACTTAGAATCAGGAAGGATGTATAAATATCCCTTATCCCAAATGCTTGTGATGGGAAGTGTTTCAAATTTCATTTTTTTTCAGATTTTGGTAATATTTGCGTATACATAAAAGAGATATCTGGGGTATGGGACCCACGTCTAAGTATGAAATTCATTTGTTTCATATGCACACAGTCTAAAGATAATGTATTTTCAGTAATTTGATGCATAAAACAAAGTCTGTGTCAAGTACCTACATGCGGAATTTTCCACGTGTGGCATCATGTTGGCACTCAAATAAGTTCCAGATTTTGGAGCATTGTGAATTTCAGATTTTCGGATTAGGGATGCTCAACCTGTATTGATCTTTAAATGCTTTCTGGCCCACATCATACTTATTGAAAACACAACCATTATTAGCTCGTCGCTTTCTAGCAAGTCCCTCTGCAGTCGGTAACCCCTGCTTGTAAAACAACGCCAACAGAAAACTTAGAAACAAATACCTGTATCTCTCCTCCTGCAGGGTCTGGGAAATAAAACCGTACTCTCGCTTAAACTGCACCTTCAGCGCCTCGATGTCCTCGGCCAGCTGTGCTTGGGTGTCTTTGATCTCCCTTAGCTCTTCCAGGATCACGGCGAGCTTCCCCTGGCTGTCCAGCGAGCCGGCGGCCCCGGCCCCGAAGGACTGGTTCCCGTTGCTGTCGGCCGAGCCCGACGTGCCGCTGGAGCACTCGTCGTCGCTGCCGTACCTGGGTTTGTTCACGGTGGTGGCGCTGCCCCCGTACCCCCTGGCGCTCGCCTCGGGCCTGAACTCCTCTAGGGAGTTTTTCAAGTGAGCTATGTTGTCGGCGCTGCCAAACTTGTTCCGGATCAGGTTGGCAAACTCTCGGGACTTACTGAACACAAACACGGGGGGAGTGAGGGAGACCCCTGGCATGGCCGACTTGCTGCTCTCCATGCTGTGCGGGGCAGTTCGCGATTTCACGTGGGCATCCTTCAGAGAGCGCTGTATGTCCTTCAGGTGGTCTTTGGAAATGTCCTTGGAGCTTCTGGGGGCTCCATTCTGCTCGATCTCTCTGAGCTTTCTATGATACTGCTCTAACTTCTTCTGCAGCTGGGCAATGGAGTGGGCCGACTTCTGATTCTTCTTCTCGAAGACTTGCTTGATGCGCCCGGCCTGCTGCTTGTCTGCGCTGTTGACCAGTTTCAGATATTCCGCCACGTTCCCGTCGCGGGATGTTTGCTCGATTTTTATCTGCTCTGTTACCTTTAGAATTTTTTGTTTCAGGCTGTCTGCGCTGAGTTTGACCTTGTGGAAGTCCAAAATGCCATCTGGGACATCGAAGTTGAGGTTGGTGTCTGACCCCCCGCGGCGTATGTTCAGGGGCAGGCTTAGGGTATTCATGTCATGACGTTCTACCTAAACGAGACAGGAAAGAAGCACGTTGAGATATGAAGTCAAAGGGACAGTCACTACGACTGAATCTGTGCACACACAACAAACATACTTTAAGTTCCAGATTTTCAAACTACAAGTTTCACAGGATAAAACCCCCCTCCTACCCCCTCTGGCTGAATACAGGACAGCCTGATTCCTTTCGGCAACCATCTAGACTGACTGGCTGTCAGATTCAGAGCTCCCAGGGCATCCGATTTTCTGTGTGATGAGATGGCAACTCTCTGCTCCCAGGGTAGAAAATGCAAAACAGAATGAGGTCACCCGTCAGTCCTGGTTTCCCAATGTGCCCAGGTAACTGGGATGCCAGCAACGCCCATTCACTGAGAACTTCACCATTATGGGAAATGTATCCAGTTCATAACTCACCCATTTTAACCGAAGGAGAGTTTTTTAAAAAGGAAGAATAAAAGATACCAGCAGGTGCATCCATCAACACAAAAAAATTATTTTCATAATGGAATCATTAAACAGATGTGACAGAACAATATGATGCAAGATTAATTTTAACAACCCACCAATTATTAAAATTGGATAATATAACAACAGTATTTAGTTATGGAAACAAATAATCCCAAACCACACCATGGTGATTTAAAAAAGAAAGAAAAACAATACTACTGCTAAGCCCACAATAAACATCATTTTCACTCAAGGGCCATTTAGGGAGAAGAATTACAAGGTAGCACTGAGCATGCTGGGAAAGGGCCGGCCAGTCTGAGCTCTGACAGGGAAAGGCAAAGCAGACTCCATGGCTACTTCCCACGGGCTGTCTCCCTTGATCTTCATGATCTGACATGGTAAAGAACATGCTGAGCCCATAAACAAGCAGAAACTGACGGTGAAGGAGCCAGGATTTGAATCCAAGTCACCCTAACTGTAATCCTCTTTCCATGTCAGGTCACTCTGCTATTAATGTCCTCAGGGGACGAAAAAAATGAATCTTTGTAGAGTCTGAACACAATCTCCAAACAATGATTCATAAGATCTAAACTGAAGCATCTCATTTGTCAAGTGAACATCCCTTTGATTAGAATAATGGAGTCTCAACAAAAATCAAATGGGAGGCAAGACACTATTTAGCACAAGTTACCCTTTTTTTTAGGGACTAGGATGCTGACGGGGAAAAAAATCAGTAAGAAATTGACGGACCTCACCCTGAGTGAACCAGACTCAGTAGGGACCATTTCCAACAATGCGTATTGATGCTTTGCCCACATGTCAATCCCACCCAGTGCTGTATTTCCAAAGGGAGCCCAGTGGAAGAGCCAGACATAATCCTGCAACAGGCCTTCTTCAGAGCTGACGCAAGTTTGCTAACAGCATCACCTGGCCCGTCTCTTCCCAAGCACAGTTGTTTTTTTTTTTGAGACAGAGTCTTGCTTTGTTGCCCAGGCTAGAGTGAGTGCCGCGGCGTCAGCCTAGCTCACAGCAACCTCAAACTCCTGGGCTCAAGCAATCCTACTGCCTCAGCCTCCCGAGTAGCTGGGACTACAGGCATGCGCCACCATGCCTGGCTAATTTTTTCTATATATATATATTAGTTGGCCAATTAATTTCTTTCTATTTATGGTAGAGACGGGGTCTTGCTCTTGCTCAGGCTGGTTTCGAACTCCTGACCTCGAGCAATCCGCCCGCCTCGGCCTCCCAGAGTGCTAGGATTACAGGTATGAGCCACCGCGCCCGGCCCCCAAGCACAGTTTTGCCAGGAACGAGAGCCACTGGTTGCTTTATCTGGCAGAAGAGCATCACATAGGAAAGACCGGAAGGAAATAAATAATCACTGTAAGACTAGAAAACAGTCTCTAAGAAAAAGGGATAAAGGAATTGTGACTTCACCTGGTCAGGAGGGAATGAGGGGCATAGGGAATGAAGAAGACATACAATAACCTGCACGTCCTAGAGGGATGGCCACAGGAAGTTCAAAGACTTGATGGACCTGGGGCTTATTAGTGAATTCAAACAGGAACGGGTTCAAATTACAGCAACAAAGTGCGCTAAATTTAGAAAATGCTTACTTTGGGCAGATTAATGGTAACGGGGCAATTAATGGTAACTGTACAATCACTGAGGCTGGAAGCTTGATTTTACTGGAGATATCATATTTGACCATGCCCCTCTACTTCTCAGAAAGTTTCTTTGGCTTCCTAAGGCCTCCCCAACGAAGTAGTACAACCTGGCCACTGTAAGGCCCTCGCTGACCTTTCAGGCCTCATCCTGTACCTGAAGAATACCATTAATCTTTAGTGAACCTACAATCCTGAGTTCTCCACATGTACGTGAATTTTCTACAGATTTCCTTATGTACGTGATATTCGCAATGCCTAACACCCAACCACTTCTACTTACATATATGCTACATAGTCCTAAAAATCCATTTCAAATGCCCCTTCTTCCATGAAGCTTCTCCTGGTCCCAATGGAATGCTGCCTTTCCTTTCTGCGATACTCCCCAGTGTTGTGTGCTTATCTTGTGGCACGACTTTACTCTTCCTTTTGTCACACACCCATGTACTCTAACCCTGATAGACTCAAGGGAGTCATCTCTCCCTTCAAGGGAGAGATGATGTCATAGCTGTACCCAACTTGAAGTGCTAGTATTACCCTTGTTCACAGGAGGCTGTCAATAACTGTTTGTTTGCTGAACTAAGGTGACATCATTCTTTATTCAAAGAAGTCTACATGAAAATCATTTATTCAGGTCATTAAATATGAAATGTCCAGTTTTGAATCAAAAGTGTAGTTTATTATATCTCAAACAAGAAGCAGTACAATTAATGAAAGTATGTGCCTAAACTATCGACAAAGTTTTGTCATCTTAACGGTAGTTTGTTTATGCCAGCAGTGAAGAAGCATAGAGAGCAACTGGTGATGAAATCAAGAAAGGTGTTTTCCACAGCTTGTTGAGAACTGAATATTTTTCCTTGCAAGAAGTGGTGCAAAGCCTGGAAGAAGTGGTAGTCAGTTGCTGCAAGGTCTGTGAATATGGTGGTGGATGACAGTTTCTAAGCCCAGCTTCTGTAGTTTGAGCAGCGTTGTTTGTGCGACATGTGGTTGAGCATTGTCTTGCAAGAGGATTGGCCTGTCTCTATTGACCAATCTTGGTTGCTTAAGCACAAGCATCCTCATTATTTCATCCAATTGGGTGCAGCAGACATCCCGTGTAATCAACTGACCAGGTTTCATGAAGCTGTAGTGGGTAATATCAGTGCTGGACCACCACAGACCCCACTGGCTTTTTTTGATGAATATTTGGTTTTAGACAGTTGTTTTGGCACTTCATCTTTATCCAACCATTGTACCAAATGCTTGCGCTTGTCAAAAAGAATCCATTTTTCATTACACATAACAATATGGTATAGATGGTTCACCTTTATGTCATACAGCCAAGAAAGACAAGCTTTGAGATGATTTCTCTTCTGATGCTCATTCAATTCACGTGAAACCTATCTATCTAGCTTCTTTACCTTGCCAATTTGTTTCAAATGGTCCAATATTGTTGGAATAGTATCATCAAACCTTGCTGTTAATTCATGCATAGGTTGAGATGGATTCGCTTCCGCCACAACTTTCAGTTCATCATTATCCACCTTGGCCTCAGGTTGCCCAAATGACTCATATTCAAGATTAAAATCACCAAAATGAAACTTCTCAAACCATTGACATACCATGAGTTGATTAGCCACATGCTTCCCAAACACTTTGTTTATATTTCAAGCTGTCTGTGCTGCATTGGTTCCACAATGGAACTCATATTGAAAAATAACACAAATTTTTTACTTATCCATGGTTTCACAAAAATTACTCTAAAAAATTTTGAAAGATAATCACAAGCCAATATGTGCATTTGAAAGACTGAGGTGATGATGTACACTCACAATAAACACAAAACTAGAAGCGTCAAAGTGAAATGTCAGAGACATCAACCATCAAACTTAGTACTTACAGAAATCGGACATTTCATATTTAATAACCTAAATAAAATACATTTCAATTAAATCAAAACATGACCTCGGAAGTTCTACCCATATAGCTTTGACAATCCCAGGTGGAGACGGTTTCCCAATACCTCCTAGACAATAAATCCTGTGCCATTTTAAACTGATTTAACTAAATATTTTTCTGGGTATTAATGTGCAACAAGATATACAAATGCAAATATGAACTTTTTAATTGAAATATAATTTACACTCACAAAAGAGCACATTTAATAAGTATAAAACTCAATGAATTTTTACAAACTGAATCCATTGCGTAACCAGTGGACAGTCAAAGAAACAGAAGCCACCCGTGCGTCCCCTCCCATCACAACTACATCACCCTCACCTCCAGGGGTAACCGCAGTCCTGACGTCAAACAGCATACGTTATGTTTTGCCTGCTGTATACCCATAGTCTTCTTGCCATTTCCCACTCAACATTGTTTGTGACTTTCCTAAGAACTTATCCTTTCCCTCCTGGAACTCACAAATAAAATGAGATTAAGTTACAAATAAAAAACGCTCATCATTCTCTATTGAGAAGAAGATAGGAAAGTTTTGACACCTCACCTTACCAAGCTGAGCAACAAGTCAGCACCTGTTCTTCTTGCTTTGATTCTCAACCGGTCATCTCACTCTAGTCTCAATGCAGCAAGCCTCGCTCTCTCCCCCAGCCTGCTGGTGCAGGACGGCCCCGGGCCCCCAGGGGTGTTTACGCACAGACTGACTTTTGACTCACTTTAGTTATAACAATGCCTGGCGTGTCCTCAACAGTCCAGGTTGGGGGAAGTGACAGCATTTAAAGCCCCGATTAATCAATCTTACTGCTTGTCAGCAGATCTCAGTTGCAAATGTTTGATGAGGGTAAAAAGTTGGAACTATATTGCTAGGCTGTACCTTTCACCCTTTTACAGCCCCAGCACGGCATGAAAATTGAGCCAGCTGTACATATCATTGTTAGATGCCCGTAAATTCCCCCGAACACAAACTGAAATTACGTGTATGTGCTAGAAAGCAAGCTGCCAGGCTCGCCCATCCTTCGTTTAATCTGAACTTGGCTCTGTCCCTACACAGTACACCGTACAGCGCAGCCTGGTTTCAGGGTCAGGACGTGGGGAGGAAGACAAAGGTTCATGGATCACCTGGAGTCAACGTGCATGCTGAGCGTGGGTCAGGCAACTGTGCTCCAATTTGGCACTGACGTTTACTAGCTATGTGTTCTTGGGTAAACTGAGTCACATCTGTGGGCTTCCATTTCCTAATCTATGGTACAAGGAGCTAGAACCAGACAATTCCAAATACTGCACAATTCCAACAAAGGCAATCCAAGCTATTGCTACTGTGAGCCAGTACTGAGCACCAGCCAAGACCGAGGGCTCTGGAGACAGACTGCTTTCATTTCCATCTTGGCACCACTCTTATAAGCTGTGTGACCCTGGAAAAATGACTTAGCCCCTCTGTGCCGCAGTTTCCTTTCCTGAAAATGGAGATAATGATTCTTCAAAAGAGTCATTGTGAGGAATACATGAGATAATGCAGGCAAAATGCTTAAAGACCTCCTGGCACACAGAATGGTTTCAACAAATGTTTGTTAGCGTTACCATCCCAGTTTTGTTTTAAAATGTACCTAAATTCAACTTCATTTTAAAATGTATGTAAAGAATGAAAGGAAAACAAGCTCCAAAATGTCAACACTGCTTACCTCTGCACCCTGGGGTTGTGAGGAATCATTCTTTTGTATTTTCCAATTTCCAATTTTTTAAAAATGAAATGGGTGGCTGTTTTGGCAGAAAAGATCTTGCTTTTAAAAATAACTGCTAGCCTCTTTTAGTTCTCCCGGAATTACTTGGCTGTTATTACCTTCCATGAAAGGCAGACCACCAGCACCCTAGCGAAATGCCACTCCTAATTGCGTTTTCCTTCCGGCAGCAGAGACGTTTCCACTGTCACCTCAATGTTCTGGAACAAAGGCTGAGGAAAAGCCTCAGTCCTGGACAGACGTCATACTTGGACCCTGACTCATCTCTGCAAGGAACCAAGCCTCCAGCACAGCACCCCACGGTGGCTCACCTTACTCGCCAGGGCGCGGGCAAGCCCTCGCCGGTGCCGTGCGGAACACGCTGTTCAGCCTGCGAAAGGCAGCTGCCTCCCAGCACACTTTGTTATTTACCCCCGAAAGCTCCACGGGGAAATGAACAAGGAGGGAAGGCTACCCAATGCAGAGATACACGACCCAAACCCCCATGAAACAGAACTGCAAAGGAGAATGGGGGCCTCCTGTGGGCCCCCGAAGGATGAGGACTGAGGCAGGAGTTCTCTGAGGCTCTGGGGTCCGTGGAGTGGCCAGAATGTGTGACAGGTGACAAATGCCTGCTTAGTCCCAAGACCGGATACAATGAGCCTCTGCTTAAAGAAAGGCTGTTTGAGCTCAGACATTGTTAAGAAAAGGGTCAGGTCTTTCAAATAGGCTGTTACTTCCAAGACAACAGGTATTTCAGAACACACGTGAGTGCAGGGTTACATACACACAGGCCCACAGGATCTGCACATTCAATATCTAAAGGATTTTACAAAGTCTTTGCAGCCTAGGAATCCAAGTCAATATCACGAACATTTTTTACTATTAATAATTTTAGCTGACCTCTACTTCAGGTCTAGAGTCAAGGCTGTTCCTATGGTATGCCAGTCAGAATGTGCTAGGCTTTGCCGTGGTATCGACGTCAAAATCTGAGGGCCTTTAAAAGAAAGGTTTATTTCTTGCTCATGCTAAAAAGTGTGCCATGAGTCAGCCGAGGGACCCAGGCCACACTGGAGCTTCTACTGCCTGGAACGCTGCCAGTGAGTGGGCCACCGACTCCTAAATAAAGACTTGTCCCGTAGGAGACCCACCTGTGGCTTCCTCCACTCATTACACAGGCCCCATCTAACTTCTAGGGGATGGGGAAGGATAATCCTACTGCATGTCTAGGAGAGATGTCATGGTAGTGACATGTCAAGTACCTTCTTTATTTGCTAAAAAGTCTCTGAGGTAGGTTCTACTATTATTACTATCTTAAAAATGAGAAAACTAGGCACAGAGAAGCAAACTGCCTGGGGGCACACAGTAAAATGGCAAAGCCAGGACTGAAATCCACACAGTCTGTCTCCAGAGCCTGCCTCCCTAACAATGACTGAGTACTTTTATTATGAGTCAGGCACTGTGAAGATTTTTTTATGCATTCATATATTCTTCACACCAACCCTCTTTTTATGAGAAACCCAAGACTTATAAAGAGTATATATGTTTCTTGAAGCCTGTGGTTAATAAGCAGCTTAATTAGGGCTCAACTCGGGTTTATGAAATATGCAAGACTTTGCAAGATCTATACGAGCTCAGCCACCGACCATTCTGCAATGTCCCCAATGTGGTCATCCAGACTTGTATGGACACTTCGGGTGTGATTAACACTACTCTGTCAAAAAATCCTCCCTCGGGCTGAACTTGAAATTTTCAGCTCTGTAACTTCCCATCAACAGCCCTGGAGTTGCTTCCCAGAGCCACATCAGTCGGGTTTGATATTGTCTCCACAATCCATCCTTCTTGATTCATGTTCTAAAATATAAAACATGATTTAGGCCAAATAATTTTATGAGGATGAAAAGCTTGTTGCTTTTACTGGAACAATGCCCAAGCATTTACAATCACTAAGAGAAGAGAGAAATGAGAGAGAAGTACTAACAGAAGGTAAAAATAAGGAAAGTAAGATAAAGGACCTTCGGAGAAGTAAGCCGTGTTTCCAAGGGCCCGAAAAATGAGGAGTTGATATCTGGACACGTGTGGGGAAAAGCAAGCAGCAGCTAAGGGCTGGAGTTTCCTGGAGAGAAGGGAAATCTCCACTACTAATACATGCGCTACTACTGACCCACCTTCTTCCTGCTCTCTTGGGGTCACTTGGCATGCACTTGCAAAATGTCCACACGGACAGTGAATGTGGAACCCAGGGAGGATAACCAAACCACTAGGCCTCAGCATCGAACACTCGGTGTTCTTGCTAATGCAGCTAACCTGCACTGGAAAAATAACCCTGAGGGCTTGATAAACCTCCTTATCCTCTTGTTACCAGAGACATACTAATACATTCATGTGGACATCTCTACATAATGTGCAAACACCTACATTCTCTGGAAGAGGACAAACATTTTCCCCCACTACGTTCTGGAAAGGAAAAAAATATCTTAAGGACCCTCACGTGGTATCCAAAAGGACATTTTATTAGTGAAGTGTCACGGCAAAATGATTGTTCTAATTTGTTTAGACAAGAAACATTGCCTTTCATCGTTCGAGTCTGAGGACAGTACACTCTGAACTTTAAGCAAGTGCACCACATACACATACAGCACGGGAACTGAGTCAACGGTTTTACCGCAAAGGTCTGATTTCCCCGCATGCCCAGACAAAAGCAATTCTGTCGCGTCAAGAGTTCTACTTCCTGGGGGGAAGGGGGGCATAGGCAATATACGTAACCTTAACACTTGTACCCCCATAATACGCTAAAATAAAAAAAAGAAATAAAGAAATAAGCCAAACATAAAAAAAAAAAAAATTCTACTTCCTGAGTGCAGGTAGAGTAAAACCATGTTACTCTGCAATTAAGGATTATTTGGGCCAGAGGCTGGAATACGCACACCTCGGATAGTCCGACCCTTTCTCCAGATGCTGCACACTAATAGTGCAAAGGAGATTAGGCAGTGTTTAAGATTCTCTAAAACAAATTCTTCAAGCACCCTCAAGCTCTCACAAACACTTGATACTGTAATTAGAAATAATTATCTTCTCATTAAGCCTCTACCAGGCAACACTGATAATCTACTTTGAGTTACATGCACTAAAAAAAAATGCATATTTCTTCAAAATAGCTTATAACTCACTTTCGATTAATACAAACTAATCCCTTACAAAATGAGTCTGACCTGGTACTCGGTCTACATAAGAATTAAAGGAGGGAAAAAAGCCAGATTTAAAAAGATCGTCCCTGGAAGGGCAGAAGGGAAAGGCCATGGTGATGCCAACCGACCCTTACGCTGAACACCAAGGACAGGTCACAGTCAGCCACGGTGCTGGGGGCAGCGGTGGGGGTCACTATGTGGACATGAGGCAACACTCAGACAGGGCTGTTTCTAGAAGAGGAAGGAGCCCTGGGGACCTCACGTATCTCGAAAACAGGCAAGTCTGGAAAGGGGAGTGAGCCCTTAATATCTGCCCTAACCTCCCCAGGCCTGGGACCAAGAACCAGGCCTTCTCGAAGGAAGGGTTCACAGTTCCTTCATGTGGGGAAAGAGAAATAGTGATTTCTAAAAAAAGCAGTAGGAGGCCCCAATTTTAGGAATAAACAGAACAAACGTCCACTGAAGCTTTTAGTTCCTAACTCGGAGGAGAAGGAAAAAAAAGGTGAGTGAGAGCCCCTAGGCACTAACGCCTTTCTGGGGTGGCAGGGGTATTTCTGGAAACTTTCCCGCACATGCGTGTTCATTCCCTTAAGTTTCTGGCAGTGTCTGTCAGTAAAACCTCCCCGGGAAAGAGGGTGGGCCGGCGAGGAAGGGGAGGTGGGAAGACCACCTTCTGCTCTGAGAGAACCACCCCCAGGAAAATGGGCCTCCAAGGTCTGAGCCAGTGAGCAGAGAAGACAGGCCCAGCCTGGTGGCCCAGCTGCGGCAGCCTGGGGACAGGGGTCTGCTCGCCGCCCAGCATGGCCGGGCCAGTCTGTTCTGTTGCCTTAGCATTTACTCACCGCCTCCTTCACCCCCAAAACATGCAGAGTGGGCGTTCTTGGGGGGAACCGTGCTTATAACGACTACAAATGCAGCACCTGTCCTGCAAAGCCTTTCGGCATCTCCATCTGAATGAGCTCTCAGGGGTTCCTGGTGGCCTCTCAGACGCACAGATGACGACTGGCATTACAGACCACACGGTAACGGTAAGGGTTAAACAAGAGCACTCTCAAGGACACAGACCACACGGTAAGGGTTAAACAAGAGCACTCTGAAGGACACCGACCTGCCACTGGCAGTCAGAATTCCAGAGCTGGAAGAGCCCCGGCCTCACCCCCATTTTTAAAAGCAGCAGCGTGAATGTAAACCAAGTAACTTTTTATTCTAACGCACGCCCTGTTCATAGATGACTTATACAAAAGGAAAATAATTTGTGTCCTAAAGCATAGCTTTCTGAATAAGTAAGTGAATATAACAGGGATGTGTGTATCAGATAACAACAATTATGCTCCCTTTTTGTGCTGGATGCTAGGAAATTCAGAACTAAACTTAGCTGGAGTTAACTGTCAGATCTGGGGATCGGCCTATTTGTTTTCCCTCCGTTTCTGACTTTGGTGTATTAGCGCCACTCTAACGGTATTTTCCACGTGTCTTATCATAATCTGACCCTTGGCGGAAGGAGGCAGGTGTACTTTGATCTATAGATGCTAGGGACATCCTCCTGCCCAGAGATGAACACCATGTACACGCTCCCGCAGGTAACAGGGTAATGTGGTCACACACACACAGCTCATAAACTGGCACCACTACTTCCTCTATCCCCATTCCCAAGGCACTCAAAGTCACACAGGGTCACCACCTGGCTCATGTCCTTTAAAAAGTTGCTATGAAAGACTGAGCCAGGAACTGGCATTTGGTACTTGAGTCCCAAAGTGCATTCCCAAAGCAAATTTAAGCCTTGCAATTAAATTATTCTCTGCAGGTCAGGGCTTAATTTATTTTTAGTGCTGTAACACATACTAGGTGAAAAACCTATGTACCATATGTATGAAAAGCCGTTGTACTAGATGATTTGTAGTATAGGATTTTATTATAAATGAATCAGAACACTACTAACTGACAGGGCTGAGAAATAAAGTTTTGAGGGAGTAGAAGAAAAAACTGATCATTTCTTTCTCTTTTGCAATACTGAGGCTACTTCTGAATAGTTATATATTTCTAATATCAGCCAGTAATATTATCACCAAATGGCAACTATAATGAAAAAGCTGACTTTATGTGTATCAAAATCATATATAGAGCCGGGCGTGGTGGCTCACGCCTGTAATCCTAGCACTTTGGGAGGCTGAGGCGGGCGGATTGCTCAAGGTCAGGAGTTCGAAACCAGCCTGAGTGAGACCCCGTCTCTACCAAAAATAGAAAGAAATTAATTGACCAACTAAAAATATATATACAAAAAAATTAGCCGGGCATGGTGGCGCATGCCTGTAGTCCCAGCTACTCGGGAGGCTGAGGCAGTAGGATCGCTGAGCCCCGGAGATTGAGGTTGCTGTGAGCTAGGCTGACGCCACGGCACTCACTCTAGCCTGGGCAACAAAGTGAGACTCTGTCTCAAAAAAAAAAAAAAAAAAAATCATATATAGCATTACATTTAAAGGAAAAAAAGAAAAGACCATTAAAAGTATATTCAGGCCGGGCATAGTGGCTCCTGCCTGTAATCCTAGCACTCTGGGAGGCTGAGGTGGGAGGATCATTTCAGGTCAGGAGTTCAAGAACAGGCTGAGCAACAGTGAGATTCCATCTGTACAAAAAACAGAAAAATTAGCCAGGTGTGGCAGCACACGCCTGTAGTCCCAGCTACTGGGGAAGCTGAGGCAGGAGGATTGCTTGAGCCCAGCAGATGGAGGTTGCAGTGAGCTGTGATGATGCCACTGCACTTTAGCCTGGGCAACAGATTCTGTCTCCCCCAAGCCCCGCAAAAAAAGTATATTCAATCAACATTTTAGCACAGTATTTATTTCTCTCTTATGGAAAAGCAGCCTTACTCTTAAGTTGTGCTGGGCCTTCAAATGAGACCATCAACACAAAAACTCTAATCTCCTTAGGCTGAATAAAATTATCTTTTTAAAAGATAAACGCATGGCCTCCTTCCCAATTTACCTTTCAAGGGACAATTCAAACACAGTCTCTTCCACAAAGTTTCTCCCACTCCCCTGCCCCTCCAATGGCCAGCTGGAACCGATGGCTTCCTTTGTGCTCTCCCCACATTTGCATTTACCCCTTTTACAGTGCTTATTCTGCCAGGTAGGATATGTATTTGTGTAACATTTGTCCCCCAATCTCTGGAAGCCTCCATGAAGAGAAGGATGGTCTACTAAGCCACCTGGGTCTGCCCCACACTCCTTCCTCAATAGGACCTTAGTGTTTACTAAGTGAATCAGTGGTTGACTAAGAGCCAACTGGGGCAGCCAGTTGTCCCTCATGTTTACATTCGCTCAGCTGTTTGCAACGAGATCAAGAACCTGCAACCATGGTTGTGCTGGACTGCTTTCAAGACAGACAGAACTGTGAACAGGTCATGGCTTTTGATCCAAGCGAGAGGTCAAATACTCAGGAAACGTGTTTCATGGCTCTCCACTGCTCCAAGCACAAAATAGGTGAGCACTTACCAAGTGATAAATGTTAAGATCCACAACGCACAGAATGTGCAGGTGTGATCCTTCCTTCCTGGGGGACATTTTCCCGAGGGTACCCTAATAACTACCGCAGAGAACCCAGGTGCCTGCTTCTTCAAACACACCCACGTGTTTGACTCGGCCCCTTAGCTGTGATGGCATAAAGGAGCAGTCTCGTACTGCACTAAATGAAACACTTTTAAAAATAATTTATTTGATGGCACCAGCTAGATTATCAAATGTAGTTTCTTGTCCCTTAGGAAATCACAATTTGGTAGAACATAAACATAAAAATAAGAGTCCTTTTACTATCAAAAGTTTAAGAAGGCAATGATTTGTTTAAAGGACACAGGCAGGCTTCAAGAAGAATAGCCTGAGAGGCTAGGATCTTGGAAAGATAGTTCAGATTTGTTAAAAAAGAGAAGCCATGAGTTATTAAGGACTTATAAACATCAGATAATTTTCTAAATGCTTCACATAAACATTATTTTATTTTTCCTTTTAGGAATCTGAGATTAAAATTATTACTCCCATTTTAGAGATGGGAAAAATGACTTGTCTGAGTCATAAAGCCAGTAAGTGGCAGAGCTGTGATAGTTCTAGCCCAGGTCTTTCTGGCTCTAAGATCTTGAGAGCCTACTGCATATTCTAAACCACTTATTAGACACATACCTGTTTCCTACAACCCCCCAATTTACTTGGTTTACTTAAATCATCGTGTTACCATTGCAAAGGTAAAAAAAAATACATATGAGAAACCTGAAGAGCAAATACAGACTGCTTCAGACAGTCCTTGGTGCCACGAGGCAATTACTGGAGATGTTCTCAATTTGATATTAATAAGTAAGAGAAGAAAGCAGCTTAAATCCCAAGATATCTTGCATAATAAAAAATGTGGACTGCTTCTGTTTTACTCATTAATAATAATTCTCAAGGCC